TGCTATGTTATCCGAGTCTATAGACAATATTGTATTTCGAGAGAATTGGGAGAGCGAGAGAGACAGAGAGAGAAAGACAGAGACATAGATCACGGACCTACTACATGTACGAGTAGTAGGTCCATGCACAAATAGATAGAGAAAGAGAGACAGAGAGACAAAGAAACCGAAAATTCCTAACAATGGAGACTACTAGAAAGAACTAAATAGGGAGAAGGGGAGAGAATAAAAGACAAACAGACACATATGAGGATAGAGACAGTGAAAATGGAACGAGGGGGCAGATGGGGAGACAGAGAAAGAGGGCGTTGCTAGGATACAGACAAAGAGAATGGAAGTCGGGTAGGAAATAATACTCTTGACTCATTGCCTCAGTTAATGTATACACATTCATATCGACTAATCAATTTCACCCAACTGCTCGTGAATTTAGAGCAGGGGCATTGATCGCCGGTTGCAACGAGGGTCGGCAACCCCTGCCCCCCTCCCCCTCCACCACCACCACCACCACCACCACCACCACCACCACCACCCGTACCGCAAGATGAAGTTCATTTTACTGGTTCTCATCATGGACCTACTTCCATGAATGATCTCATACAGTGTAAATTCCAGAACAATGTGCCCCCTCACATAATTATACTGAGGGCTGCAAGCACAGTAAGCTTCACGCTTATGTCGTTATCCTTCTCTTATCTATCATGCTCAACTAATCCATATAAATTATGCACTAAGGCCGGGTGTATCTTATTTACCGTTAATGTATGTATACATTATAATTATATGCACACAATTATATAAATTTATTGATCGACAAAGCCCTAGGGGCAAATAATTGTAGAACAACTTTCTTCGTGTATGTATAGGATCATCATTTCTGGTATTTATATACTGTGTATGTGTATATGGGGACTATGTATTTATATCACATTAATGCGTATGAATATGTATGTTAAGAAAGATGATATAGAAGTAAACTCGACTCCAATCAAATCAAATCAAAGCAATCTATTCTAGAATGGTTCCTCGCCCTTAATCATCGTATGCACACATATCATGATAAACGATTTGACCTGACCCGATATCACACATATCGGCTGATTGTGATGTAGGCTCGCTTTCAGGTTTTTCATACCGTCTAACATCATGCTCCAACTTCAGTGGGATACAGTGAACTGATACAGATAATGCGAGAACGTCTTTAAATAAGGTTAGACGGTAAAAAGTTTGCCGAACCCTGTACATGATGTACGTCCGCTGCCCACAAAAAATTAAAATCGTACAAAATTAATGCTTTATTGTGAATACTTTAAGTCTCATTTGAACAAAACATGACAAACATTAAGATTGGCATGAATGCTTTGATGGTGAGATCACTATAAAGCTGAAGGAATCGCGTAATTGGTGCATTTTGGTCACTTTCTCCTCATTAAAAAAAAATCTAAATAATATTTCCATCGTTTTGTCTACCAATAAATAAATCCTGTCCAGCAATCGAATATATTTAAATACATACATTCATACATCTAATGCACAAATCTTCTTCCTTATTTTCTTCTCTTCTCAAACCTACATGCATTGCAGGCTCATCCTTTTGTATTATTTTCTGTACCTCCGATCTCACAATTCTTTTTGGGGACTGTTTACTTTTTATATCGTGACCGTGTTCTCCTATCTTTGTCATTTAAAGCACTCTATTGTTTCGTTTTCGTCTCTGTTGGCATCCCCTGTTTTCCTATTTCTAGTTCCTTGATGTAGTTACGAATTTGTTGATTTAATTACTTATTATTCCCAACTATTGTTTGAGAGGTCCACATTGTACATACAGGCATTGCTTTCTAGTGGACCCCTCCGTTTCCAATATGTATTCCTAATTTTTGTAAATGATTATAATTGAATTGTGAAGTTTCAAAAAAAGTAAAAATATATATATATATTATATGTTAAAATATTTTCAATTTTAACTTTATTGCTGTTTCCAACAAAACTTAACTCAATTATAATCATTTACACAAATTAAGGAATACATGTTGGATACAGAGGGGTCCACTAAAAAGCAATGCCTGCATGTGGATAACTATTTTAGTCGTTTTGTGTGTCAGAAAGTGAGAGAGAGAGAGAGGGGGGGGGGGGGGAGTCGAAGTGGAGAGAAAGTGAGAGGAGGAATGTCATGGAAAGAAAATAGAAAATTACATATGGCAAAGAAAAAAAGGAGAGTGAGAATGAGAGGGAGAGAGGGAATAAAGAAAGAGATAGAATGCGAGAGATATGGGAGAGAGGGGGAGGAGGAGAAAGCTAGGGGGAGGAGAAATAGAGAGAGGAAGGAGGGAGGGAGAAAGAAGAAGAGAGAGAGAGGGTGGAGGGAGAGGGGGAGGAGAGAGAGAGGAGCGATGATGGAGCGTGAGACGGAGAAGAGTAATATGACAACGATAATTCACTTGTTGTTAACAACAGTCTAACAATCATCATTACTTTTTTTTTTAAATTTAAGGTCAGCATCTGTTTTTAAAATACCAGAAGTAGCACCCTCATATTTGTTCTATTTTAGACCTTGAGCGTTGAAATTGTATTGTCTAGTCACGGGAGCATTGTGTTAACTGAGGACATGCCATAATGGAAGAACAATATAGGATCAAATTGCCTGACCTTAAACATTATTTTGCAAACATATACATTGAAATACATCTCCGCATCCCCACAATTACGTAGTATCTCTAAACAATCAGTTTACATAGTGTATTCGGTGGTGTGGCTATGTGGGGCACGGGGGAACGTCTCCCCATGAAACTGCACCAAAAAGGAAAGAAAAAGGAGGAAAAAAGGGAGAGTGGGAAAAAGATGATATTTTAAGGCCCCTCCCGCACCACAATAATTGGTGGGTTTGTAAAGTCGCATTTCATTCACCAACTACGTAAAACCAGTGCATCACCCCCCCCCCCCCCCCCCCCCCCCCCCCCCCCCCCCCGAAGCCTTTTTCCTCCTCAACGGCTGGTCCCCCGTTGTGCCACTGAATTATGTCAAATTCAGGGGTGTTTCTACCCGGAGACCCTAATGATCGACTAATAATCGTTTTCACAAACTAATGAGTAATAACTAGAGTACAATTGCATATACATGTAGTGGCTGGTATGACGGCATACCTTTGGCATCATCTGACTATTCAACTATTTTATCTAGGCCTATAAAGAATATCTATATTACTATAACCATAACTGTATCAATAACTACAACTGTAACTGAATTTTTGTACTTTGAATTTGTTTTGAACGCATGAAATCAATCAAAATAATATGACAGTAACTATGATTTTAAATTTTTAACTATGCTATAATATCTAACTATATCTATAGTGTACCAATATAGGCCTACATATTTTGTAGATGACTGTATATATGACTATTTCTATATAAATAATGTAACTATATTGATGGGGGGGGGGGGTCATGATTTTCTTATCATTTGCCCGATTCTTTCCAACTTATCTTTACCTCGCGTCTTTTCAAAAATCAATTGTTTTCGGTGTATAGTTTCCCTTTAACTTCCCTCTATTTGGTACAGAATGAGGTGGATGTGTAGAGTACTTAGCCCTTTTTTCCCACTTCCTTAATTTATGGCACGTTTGGACCGCGTGGGTTTACAGAAAATTATCATATCGCCTCTGATCTCCAGCAGCGTTGCTACTGTGCTAGGGGGCTAAATACACACACCGGACTATACATCCTCAAAATAATCCCAAAAAGAAAGGACATTGATGGGAAACTTTGTTTCAAGCTGCATACTGTACGGCTGTGTACGCAGCCATTATTCTCTCATTTCCTTTAGCATTGTTCATATTTCCAGGAAAATTGCCGGAGCTGAACATTGCATAGGTTATTTCCTTACGTTATACGAACATTGTTTACAAAAGATAAAGAAAACATTACATTTCCAGGCAAAAAAAATAATCATATCATGTTCCACTAATGTAACTGTTGCCTCTTTTCTGTTGGTTCATTATTTTCTTGGTGCATTTCGTAGATGCAATTAGGGATACCCAAAGCGAATTTACGCCCAAATTTAATTCCTGGAAGAAATATTGAACTCATGCATGGGCTGTGTTCATCCATGTCTGTAACCTTGTAATACTCGATCTACAGCCTCTGCCCGGCTGTAAAGCCTGTTGCTGACATAGCTGCCGTACGTGTGGCATCATCAAGTTATTATAACTTATACTACATCAATATCATTATTCTATTGTAATGTAATAATCCGTCTGCCGAGAAAGCCGGAGGGGTGTGTAGGCCTACTCATAATAATATACATGAACACAGTGTTACATCCTACTGGGCTTCAAGAAGCCATGTCATGTTTTGTATTACCCTTACACTGCATGTTAAAACAATCGAAAGCAGATTTCTGATGGACAATAAAACAGGTCTTGAATCATCAGTATACAAGTGAAGCATATAATACCATTAAAAGGTAGCACAAACGTGTACATATATTATGATAAAATCGATGGCATTTATCCATTGAAATAGAGCTGGGCTTCATTAATTTCGGGGGCGTCATTGAGGGTACCCCCCCCCCCCCCCAATTATGATTGAAATGAATATGATCACCTCTTTGTATTCGGCGGGTGCACACATGCATGCTTGCCCCGCCCCCTCCAAAAATGGATGCCCCTATATCATTCAGTGAGTGCGCTTCAAATAATTTATAACCATCCTGTCCCCCATCTGAAAACTGATCGACGCGTACCTCTAATAATGTCAATAAACCAGAATTACAAGGCTAACATGAAGCGATTACTTCTACTTCTCGCAGTGGCACATTTGATTGCATTTCGGCTCAGTCATTTTATGTACACGACGAGAAACGTAGAAGCTATGAAGACGGATGGCATTTACAGAAGCACGAAAAGCTTCACACAGCGCGCTGTCATACATACAACACATGTACATTCATACATTCATATCATGAAAGGGTTGGGAAACGGGAATCACACACACAATCCTTACCTCATAGACGTTCCACATGCAAGATACGGCGGGTACTTCTTCGAGAAATACGACCAAAAAACGAAGTATAAACCTGGCCAGACTACCCAGCCCGCCACACCAAGGGTCCATAAAGATGGGTAATACAGAGGCACATCCATGTTCACAACTTGCTCCTCCATTCTTATAACATGTAGCTTTATGCTTGTGATAAATTAAAGTGATTTGCAGAGAGAAAGGGAGAGAGATAGAGATGGAGGCGTGCGTGCCTCAATGACTGTTTCCTGCAGCTCGCCGGAGACACCGTGGATGCCTAGCCTATATAACTCACTTTTGGGGCAAGAGTGACCGTACTCGTGCACTCACTCAACTACATAATCACTCGACCGCAATGGTGATAATGTCTTATGATGGAGACAATTCAACTGTAGCTCAAGCTTAAACAAGCAAAACACAAACTTCCTCGACGATCTCAGTCACGTTTTATCTAATTGTGATAATAAGAAGTTTGGGTGCGAGCACTTATCAATGTACTTTGAAGTTTGATTCACACGGTACACTGAACTGAAGATTGCTAATCCCTATTTAAACTAAGGACAAAAGATCTAGTAAGGACGTTGAGTTATCACTAAAGGAAACGTATTTGTTTTTGTAATGAGATCTTTCCTTGCTAACACATTCATGTAGGCCTGTTCCCATTTGCTCTTTCGTCTCGCCTTTTGCTAATTAAAGCGAACTGTAGTTTGCCTATTTTTGAGACATCACGCCATCCGAGTTAGTGCTGCTGCACAAGTGCTGGTATATAAGGTGAATGGCCAAGAAACATTCGGTGAATACAGTAACTGTAGTCGGTGAAGTAGCGTGACTGACGTATAAAACTAAAGCCCACACAAAAGATTTTGCGGGCTCAGACTTATTAACACGTTTTTTACTGCAATTCCTAAAGCGTTGATCATATAATTTGTAGTAGGTCCATGATCAGGTCCTAGCTCTAGTAAAAGCTGTCACGTCGGTCTCCGGAGTAACTATACAGATCATCATGATCAGATCACAGCTATAAAAGACTAGACTAGGCGCAGCCTATGCCAGCACAGTAGGCCCTCGGTAGTCTCAAAGCGCAGACATCGACAGTGCATGCTATACGCACAACGTCTGGTTTGTGCTTGCAAACTAATTGACCCGCATAATTATTTTCCCTTCCCCAGATGTCGTTTGTATTGTGTGGACTATTGTTGAAGGGGAAGGTTGAAGTCTGGTAAGGCCAAAGTGAAAGGGTGAGAAATATGTTAGTTTGGAAGAAAAGAAGAAAATAATGACTCATGAAAAAGATTGCTCTTCAAATACCCTAAATTATTTGAAAAATTATGAGGAAAACAAAACGGAAAAAGTTCGGACCAAACTTGTAGTCCAAATTTTGTCCAACAAGTATCACATAATTATGTATACAGTACATGTGACTTTTAGCAACAATCAGTCAATTTCTTAACTTTCGATGATACCAGCCTCGCAGCATTCATGTAGCCTACATTCAGGAGTAGACTCTATAGTAGTCGCTCTATGCAGAGCGAATTTATTTCATTTCCCACATAAACAATGATTCTCAACAATAAAGTTAAAATTATAAACGTAATGATATAACATAAAATTAGCATAGAAATACCTTCTTCTTTTTTTCTTTTCAAAGTCTTGTAATACGATATTCTTAAGTTACAGGAAATGAAAAACAAACCTATAGAATTACTGTCTCGGAAGCGAAATAAAAATCAATCAATCAATCAATCAATGCTTAATAGGTTTCGGATAGCACAAGAATAAATCAAACTTTAGGCCTATAAATTCATATTAATTTTGTTATGAACAACCAGCTTTTCCAAATTCCTTCCAGACAGTTTCTTTCAGACAGTGTAGACCTAATCGTTTGTCCAAAACTCAACCTTTTCTTATTCTTTAAAGGGTAAGACAAGTAGCCCACCCTGAATAAAAATTTGTTTTATATCAAAAGCAAAAAAATGAGAGAAACAAACCGGAGAAAGTCCGATATAGAATGACATAGATATCTCTTTATTAATTTGTTGTTGCCGTTTTATTTTGTTCGTCTTTCTTTCCTTGTTTTCTTTTGGCAGGGGGTGGTAAATTGAAATCTATCAAACGAAACGTGACGCCTGACGTAATTTTTTCTGACGGTGTTTTGCATTGTACTGAAAATTCCATGGAATTCTCATATCCACTGTCGTTGACGGCTTCTTATTATTTTTAAAGAGGCGTGTGTAAAAACATGACACAAATTATATTCTAGCTAACAGACAGAGGTTTATGATATGATAACAATGAAAAAAAAAAATTCCGACAAGTGAAGACGTACGTCAAAGACTTACAGTTAACGTTCGAATTTAGAGATTCATAATTTTCTTTGTGCATAATTATTTGCATTGCCATCAAACATCCGCCGATCCTTTTCTCACATTTCCCCCCTGCTTTCAAAGCTAATTTTAATAGGTTTGACTACCTCTTTAAAGGTGTACAGCACCCAGTTTTTGATTGCTTTTTTTTGCAGGCTTTTTTGTGGGCATGTATACCACCAGCAAGCATGAGCGCGTGCCCCTTATATCCCTGGTATTACTAAAGGATCTCTCTAATGGGTAAATGGGATGTTAGGTGAGATAGAGATTAATGACCGTGTTAGCGGACATCAAGCAAGAAGCTACTTCCAGCCACTAGTATGCTCTCTCTCTCTCTCCCTCTCTCCTCTCTCTCTCCCTCTCTCTCTCTCTCTCTCTCTCTATATCTCTCTCTTTCTGCCTCTCTATCTCTCTCTCGTCCTCTCTCTCTCTCTCTTTCTCTCTCCCCCCTCTTTCTGTCTCTCTCCATGGTCTTAGTAGGTCTATATGCTCTCTCTCTCTCTCTCTCTAGTCTCTCCCTCCCTCTCTCTCTCTCTCTCTATCTCTTTCTGCCTTACTCTTTCTATATCTCTATCTCTCTCTTCTTCTTTTTCTCCGTCACCTCCATCTTCTACTTTCCTCCTTCTCCTATACTGTCTTCTTCTCATTTCCACCTTCTTATTGTTATTATTGTATGATCATTATTGTTATAATTATTATTATCATTAATATCTTTTTTTCTTTTTCTCCTCTCCTTTATTCTCTTCTGAAAGTCCTTCTTTTCTCCCCCCCCCCCCTAACGAATCCTTACTCTCGTATGAATATGACGCCTGCATGGCCTTAGTTGAATTTATTCATGACTGAACATTGAATAAGCAAGCTACTCTTTATTATGTACACAGTCATGTACAAAGTTTATAGCAACCGGTTTTTGCCATGGAAACCAAAGAGCCGCCAAGCATAAATTATTGATTATATAAAAATGGAATATAATTATGACGTCTCTGATAGCGTGTGAAACTGTGCTTAAAGCATTGCCGGTATGTCTTTGTGGTAGTTTTATACTTTTTCCTATAATAATAGTAGTGCAAGCCAACGAGAGTTAACACAATGAAATGCAGTGTTAATGACATCTGGATAACTACCTATGATGAGTAATCATCGAACTTTACCTCACCCTTTCCGTCTCTAGTCTCTCTCTCTCTCTCTCTCTCTCTCTCTCTCTCTCCTCTCTCTCTCTCTCCTCTCTCTCTCCCTCTCTCCCTCCTCTCTCCCTCCCTCCCTCTCTCTCTCTCTCTTTCCCACTCTCTCTCTCTCTCTCTCTCTCCATCTCTCTCTCTCTCTCTCTCTCTCTCCCCTCCTCCCCTCTCTCTCTCTCTCTCTCTCTGTCTGTCTCTCTCTTTTTCTGTTTCGCTCACTCACTCATTATATTCCGCCTACACGGTGTTCAGTTTCTGTCACGGTTTGAACATTGTTTTGATTTGTGTTTTTTTGCTTTTCCCGCGTGCATGCATCTACAATTCGGGTCAATGTCAGTGCTTCATTGTGTACATGGTATTTGGCTGCATGATTGATCTGCTTGGCTAGCAAACTGTCTCCCTCTCTTGACTTGAATCAGTAAGGTCACCGCAATAATCATTTCTTTCAATAATACGTTATGCTCACTTTTATAACAACGCATTACCAAAGACCCTTATATCCCAGGCCCCTCATTCCAGAGGCGGCGGGACGACTTCCAAAGTGTGGGGGGGGCACCAACAAAAAAGGCCACTTTCTGGAGAAAAAAAGGGCGCCTTCAAAGGGAAATCTCAAAGCGAAAATATACAATTTTTAGACTTTGGTATACCCCTATATTGTGATTACATTATCAGGAATGATTTCAATATTTGTTTTTCTTTATACATCATAAATATAAGATATTGCTTAAGCATCATACTTTGCAGTTGGGTGTGATGGTCTGAAAATTCATTTGCGAGCGAGGAAAATCTTTAAGATTTGTAAGGTCGCAGTGCGAAAAATTACATCTTATAAAGAGGAAAAACCCAATCCTGATGGGGTTATAAGCACATTCTCATAACGGAAGAATGAAAAGACCTTTGATAAGTTGCATGATTATAACAACTTTAACTACAAGCGAGCGTAGCGAGCGAGCTTTCGGGGAAATTGCTCTTGGTCGTTTGAAATTAGGGGCACGTTTAATGATGAGGGACAAGGAAAGCAGTACGTGTCACAGTACAAAGGCTAATTATCAGAGGTGAAAATGGGGCACTTCTCACACCTAAAAAAAGAGGCACGCACCAGGGATGAAAAGAGATTTTATGAGAATGGGAAATGGGCATTTGTCGACGGAAAAGAGGCACCCTTCAGATTTTGATAGGAGCATTTATCAGAGGTGAAAAGGGGCACTTATCGCATCTGTAAAGGGGCACTGACCACACATGAAAAGAGGCACTTATGAGAATGAAGAAGGGGCACTAATGATAAAGGGAAATTTTCATTTGTTGAAAGAATAGGGGCATTTATCAAAGGTGAAAGGGGGCTTTTATGAGAAGGGGGAAGTGGCTCTTATTAAAAAGAAAAAGAGGCACATGTTAAAATAAACGGGGCATTTATCAAAGATGAAAAGGGGTAATTATGAGAGGGGGAAGGGACACTTATAAAAACGAAAAAGAGCATTTATTCAATAGAAACGAAAAGGGGGATGTCTTAAAATAAAGGGGGCATTTATGAGAGATGAAAAAGCACTTATCAGGAGGGGAAGGGGCACTTGAGAAATAAAACGAGTATCTCTCAGAATTGAATAGGGTAATTAACAAGAGATGAAAAGGGGCACATATGAGAATGAAAAGGAACTATTTTAATAGATGAAAAGGGAAAGGGGCTCTTTTTTAAATGAGGACATTTATCATAAGGGAAAGGGGCACTTGTTAAAAAGGAAAGTGGGCACATGTAAAAATATCAGGGCCGCTTATACGAGTTAAAATGGTTTAGTTATTAAAATGGGAAGGGGCACTTTTTACAAAGGAAAAGGGGAACTTGTCAAATCAAAAGGGGAACCTCTCAGATTTTAATAGTGCAATTATCAGAGGTGAAGGGGGGGGGGGGGCTTATCAAAAGTGAAAAGGGTGATTCTCCTACCCGAAAGGGGGAACTTACTTAAGATTTTAATAGGCACTTATGAGAACGGAAAATGGATACTTATTGCAAAGGAAAATGGGAACTTGTCAAAGGAAAAGAGGTACGTGTCAAAATAAAAGGGGCACTTATCAGAGGTGGGAAGGGGGAAGGGGCAATTAACAAATTTAATAGGGGCTCTTGTCAAAGTAAAAGGGGCACTTTTCCTATGTAAAAAGAGGCACTTTTGGGGTACTTGAAAAAGTGGGGGCAGTGTGCCCCTGCACTATCCATCCATACCCTATCCATCCCGATCTACCGTGTTATTTTCTAGTCGTTCTGCTTTGAGTCGTTAGAGTAAAATGATAGTTCAAAGATTACAATGATTACACCTCATGTTTTCCTTCACAAAAACTTTATAGGCTTTCATACACCACAATAGTCCATGCTTTAAATTGGTACCGTAGACATTTAAATGGATTACTGAAGGGATGCACGTTTTTGAAGGCTATATAATTGCCAAATATTTCATTTCACGTCATACCCGTTACTGAGGAAGAATTATGATTATAAACAATAAAAACAAGTTTAAACATTAAATATACCCAATGATGCATATCACTACCGCAATGCGATAGGCAACATGGCGACACGGATAGAA